AGAGAGGGAAGGGGAGGGAGCCGAGCGAGGGAGACAGGCCATGTGGTCTAGAGTGTGTGGGAGAGAGCAGGCAGAGGACGCACAAGTGTTCTTTCCACTTCCTGTTCCTCCCAGCCCGTGCTCCTAACGCACAGGCCTGAGCTCTGCAGGCTGAACAGGACCACATCTCACCCACTCCCACTAACACACTCATTCTCAGTTTTAGAAATTACGCAAAACCCAGGTTTCAGAAAGCGAAACAGTGCACCAATCTCACCCCAGCATCTTATACACAAGAAAGGATATTAGTAGTGACATGATTCTTGGAAAGGTGCCTACAGGACCTTTAAATTGCAGGTTACTGAACATGAAAAATACACCAAAGTAACCACCAACACTCTGCTTGAAGTGTGAGATTTCTGAGATTAAGAAAATGGGTATAATTTGAAGAAGAAGACCAGGATAACTTCACCGATCTGGCAGCGAGCTCCCTGAGCTCCGAAAGGGCAGAGGGTGGACCTGCTTGAGCTGTCCAGGTGGGCTGCCAGCTCCCATCTCCTCTCACTGCACAGCAGCAGATCAAAGAGGCAGAGCCCCCCCGGGCCACGAGCCCAACACACACCCCCTGGCCGACCACAGCCTCGCCTGAGCCGAGCTCGCGCTGCAGGCCTGCGTGGGCTGTGCACTCGCTCACCTGTCTCTCCCATCCCCAGCTTCAAACACCCACACGCACACGCCGCTCTCTACTGACAGCTTGAAGGGCTGAGCTGGAAACTCTGAGCACTGCGACCAGACGCCTGCTGCGCCCCGAAATCACAGATCCCCTGCAGGGGGGGGAGGCCAGCACGGTGCTCTCGGCATGCACGGTCTTTTTACAGCCCTGGATCTGGGGTTGGGAAAAAAACAACCGATGGTCTTCTTTCTCTCAAGATCCAACTGACTCGAAGGGTGGAAGGGAGAAGACAGTGTGTTGCACCTTGTTCCTGAAATCTGCCAGTTCTGCAGGGGGAAGAACCCCTGGGCAAACTGCACTGAACAGGGGGTCCGAAAGGAAGTCAAAGGGGCAGGAGCCCAGCAGGGGAGGGCAGACTCTTGAGAGCCGGCACTGGCAGACAGGGCAGGCAGGTGGGAGACAGGCTCTTCCAGTCAAGCAGGAGCAGTCGAGCTCGCAGGAGCCAGAGGCTCGTGTTTACTCCTCCAGGCTGCAGGGTAGTTTTGGGGTATTTTCGGAAGCCACAGGCCGTGTGCAATGTAGGGCATTCCACTCCGCGCCTCTGCAGCAGGGCCTCCCTGTCCCTGGGGTTCCCCTGCCCAGGGGGAATCTGTTCTGGGCAGCCCACACACACACACCTCCCTACGGCTCCAGGAAAAAATACAAGCAGGGCAGCAGCAAAAGCAACAGAAAAACAACAACAATCTGTGTTTCACCTGCTGCATGGTCAAGCTCTCTACCACGCCACCGCCAGGCCTCAGGCTCAGTGCACGCCTGCACTCGGCACTTTCTGCATATTCTGTACATATTTATTGTTCTCCACAACATGTTTTATTGTTCTGGTTGTTATTATTTTTTATGTTTGGACTGACC